AATTACAAATTTTATTGACAATAAAAGTCTTAAGATATTCCGATAGAACTACGAATCGTGGCATTCATTCCTCTAATCACTCTAGTAGAGCTCTTTTACAGTGCACTTTGATTTTAATCATCTTGAAAAACAAAGCATTTCTGTAGAAAGAAAAATGAAAAAAAAACCTAGTATTTATATTGACAAAGAAAGAAAAACAGGGTACATATTGTAGACTTTCTTTTGGAAATTATTGGTATGATATGATAGAAAAGAGTTTTCACTTTAAAACAAACAAAAAAAGGAAGGACGTTTACATAACAAGTAAATAAATAAGTTAAAGTTTGATCATAGTCAAACTTTGGACATGATTGGACATAAATCGATATGACAAATCTAATGCAAAGACTATATTGGAAAAAATTAGGGTCACTAAGGGCTGGAAGAGTTCGTACAAAAAGGTTAGATGCGAGTCATTGAAAGAGGTAGTCTGATATCATCAAAAAGGTAATGCTTTCTACACGTGAATTGTAACTATCTATATACTAGAGACCAACAAAAGTTACATATAGCCACCGACAGATTCAACAATGTATTGTTGTCAAAGACGAGGTTGCATGGAAATTGCACCCAAGGTCCGTTTCCCGTTTCGGAAACGTTTCGGAAACGGAAACGCGGAAAAATGCGATGGAAACGCGTTTCTTAAATATTCTAATTTGGAAACGTGGCCGGAAACGCATTTTCAAAATTGGAAACGCGACTTATGGTTTTGGAAGCAAATTGAATAAATATTTTGAAAATATATGGATTTGTTTGTCGTTTTTAATAAATTTTAAAATCTAATTATTAAACAATAATACATTTTTTTTTCTCTAATCATCACCGTAACCTAAAAAGGTAGAAGAATCGAAGAGATAAGCAAGATATATTTTCCAATTACAATAGATTTATTATTGATTATTGAAATCGTGAAGTCGTATACATGAACGAAGTGTTTTTTTGTTCGAGTCGGATTGGATTTGTGTTGCTTCACATATTTTAAAACCATTGATATATTTTGTTTCATGACATATATATACGTTTCCAAAACGTTTATGTTTCCTCTTTTTAAAAAAGAAAAATCGTTTCCGCGTTTTCTAACGTTTCGCTTCCACGTTTCCGATTCCATGCAGCTTAGGTCAAAGATTAGCAGAGTTGAATGATTTTTTCTTGTATATGATTATATGAAGTTTCAACAAAGCAGCTGCTTTTGCGTATTAAGTTTCAAAAGAAGCAGGTGCTTTATCGTTGTTATGGCCATCAAGATATCTTCTACGTGCACTATATAAGACTCCAAAATTACTTAAGAGAGGGAAAGAAAACAAAATTTAGGGAGAGAGAGAGACTCAGAGAGTTATAGAAGTGGATTGAATATGCTCAAAATACTTGAAGTAGTTTCGATGCTTAGAAATGAGGGATTACACCAATTTATATACAATGACGCCGAGAAAACAGATGATGGGGATTAATTTAAATCTACCTGTAAAGACTGATCATTCTTTAATATTGTAAGTATCTTTTTAAATGTTCTAAGATATTCCGGAAAATGGACAAAGAAAAAGAGGTCGCAAACATGGTTAAGTGTTAAAGGATGAACCCCAGTATCTTTGCCCACTTAAAAGATTTTAGCCGGAAAGAAAACCAGCGCGGGTATCTCAATCTCTGCTCCAAATGGTCAACACATAGTCCCTCTTGTTGGCTCCAACTTTTCTCCAACATGTTTAACTCTTAGACTCCCTTGGACTTTTTTTTCCCCATTGTCTTCTCCGTTTGAGGCTTGCTGGGTTACCTCACATTTTTCCCTTTTCCAAGGGTCGTCTTTGATAGCTGGAGTTTAGCATGATAAACTTAATCGCAAGTGCACAGTAAAGTGTGTAGATAGTAAATAAGGGATCAAATCCACGAGGATCAAAATGGCACGCAAAGATCTCCGAAAATAGAGATTAATTATGACTAAACATTGTTTTGTGGTTTTTTAAAACTAAACAACGATGTCAATCAAAGCAACAAAATCGAGCAGGTAATAATGATGATTGAACGAGAAAATAATAATATGCATTCAAATCATAAGGATGTTAGATTATGACCACTTTAGAACTCAAAACACGAAATTAGATCAATTTTTTAAAAGAAATTCTAGACCGGCACTTTGAATTCAAGAAATTGAACAGATATTAGGTCCAAGTTTGATAAGTCACAAAACACTTTAACATCAATATTTATTGGCTAAGAATATTTTGCTCGCTCATCTAAGATTCTTTAGAGATTTGAACAAACACGTTTGATGTGTTAAAAGCTAATATTTCCAAATGCTTGATCATTGATTCCCCAAACTCCGTCACTGACTTAAACTCGGTTCTTATTATTGGTTGATTCTTTTTTCCACTATAAGGGATCCGCATCTACCCATTATCCACATTTACACCCGTGATGCTCATGGATGAAACAAAGCAGGATGTACCATTCTCAATGATGCATAGCGTTATTGGATGCCATAAACCCACTCCTTGTGTGATTCCGCTAAATGGTTGAGGCTTCACATTCGGACATTCCTAACCTGGATCTCGCCTTCCCGTTTTTTTCACTTTAACTCAAACCTCTTAGGCTTCATGTTCGACAACAAAGTGTGAATCAACTAAATGCCTTACTTCTTTTCTCGGTTATTGGAGCCTCTACGAACATAAACTCTTTTACTTATGTGTTTTGGCTCTGCATTTGTTTTAATAACGCTAAAAAATATTACAACAATCCATCATTGTAGTCTCTGCCTCGTTCTCCTCCTCTGAATGTTGTTGGTACATTATCGTACGTACACGAGGACTCTAGCATCAACCATCTTTTATTAGTCTTTGCACACATAAAAGCTCCCCCTTTGGATTGAGGGATTGATTATTTGCATCATATTCTTCTCAACTCGAGCCCTTCTTAAATCACTTCAAACACGGTTTATCCGGTTCATGATTCGTGTACTGTTTTTCCTATCATATATGTATTGGCTTCTATGATCGTTCATCCACAATTCATAAAATGAAAGCTATTTCAGTATATATATAGATGTTGTAGTGTACACCTTTAGAATTATATATGTAATAATATATTCATCAATAGATAGTTGTCTTTTATCTACCTCGAATATAACAGTCTTTAAAGCTCTCGATTTGGTCATCTAAGTATGGACCCATGTGTAAAGCTTTTGGTATCGCTTTTCCATATGAGTCAGACCAAACCGGTATGGTGTGCCCTCTGGGACACTCATCGTATGGACCCAATTCCGTTCTTCTGGGTTTGGGCAAAGAAGTGTGGATCCCAAACTTCTGTCGTCTTCTATTACATTTGAGTACCATCTAAAACGAAGCTTTATATTTCTACTTACAAAGAAAAAGAAAAACGCATCTTGCTGCAAGAACTTAAATTTTGCTTGTAGACCAACTATCTAAGTTTTATCTGAAAAACAATTGTAGACCAGACTATCTATATTAAGCTAATATACAACAGTTTATCTCTCCCTGTAAAATCCCAAAATTTCTTGAACTTGGTTTAGTTTTTCATATTCTCTTAATGAAAACTCACCGGAATAGATCTTGGAATGACCACATTATGAATCTTGCAAAGATATCGGATTCCAAGAACTCAATGTGAGCAGCACGTCCGATGAATGAGTTCAGGTTACGTCCATACAAGGTCGTATCGAAGTTGACATCGCAGCGCATGAACACCCTTTGCTGATGCGGCGCTTCAGGGGATGGTCCACGCATTTGGTCCATACAATTATTCAGCATTTCCAAGAAGGCGATTCCTCTTTTTGTGCTGTCGAATGAAGCCGGTTGGCATGATTCAATCCTTGCTGAGTGATATGGAACATAGCCATCCTGCATTATACACATGTTTCTGAGGTTTATATCACCTCGGTAAAGGAAAAATATTTCATTGCAAGGATATAAACAATAGTACTTGTCAGGAAAAAACAAAATACCGCAACCAGCAGCTCGAATTTATTTTCCTTATCAAATCTAGTATAATCTATCTCCACAATATTTCTATCTCTACAGTTTTTCTAATTAAATCTATAACTATATTATAAACGGATAAACTCCAGAGTATTATTGTAACCTGTGTATGAAAAAGTGTTAGTCTTCACTCTTGATAAATAGTTTTTTCAAAGCGATCATTGCAATAATAGTTAGTACAAGTTGTCATTTTTAATATATTTCCCTATCTCAATGCAAGGACCAAACTGCTTCACACAATCAACTGTAAACGTACCTGAGGGGACGATAGGAGAACTATATTTTTGAAATTTTCCAACGTCTTTTGCTGAAAAGGATTTAAAGTTGATATTAGAACCGAACAACAAAATATATGTATGCGAAAAAACCATGGTGAATATGAAGACAAGTTGAGATCTTTTTCTCTACCTTGCAGAGTTTGTAAAAGAAAGTATGCCGGATGTCAGGATCATCTGTGAGTGTAAGCTGATGAATAACCTGTGTACTTTTTAACTTCTTCAGGAGCCAAAGCCCGGAATTAAACAAGGAGTTCGTACTGTACAGATACCCCAAGTGCGGACCCGAAAGCGATAGATATGTGTGTAGAAACTTCCTGTATGGTTCCATTAAACTATCTG